GGATATGGGTTCTGAGAGCTGGTCTGGGGCAAAATCTGAGGCAAAATTGAGGAAATCGACAAAATACCCAGACGGTCGCATGGTAATTTCCAGGTATACACGGGTTCTCCGCGAAATTCCCGGCATTTTGCCGATTTGGCCTAAAATTTGGCTGATTTTGGGCCCAAACAAACCAGCCTCAGACTCGGCTCAGAGAGCCAAGAATTTGACGATTTCCACGCAGTTTTCCCGGGAAAATAGAGAGGAAAAGAGAGGGTGTTGTCGAGAAAAAAGGGAGAAGAGGAATGGGGGAGGGGGAAAAGGGTCCGGTTTAAGGAAAAAGGGCGCCGAAAAGGGCGCGCGAACCGTTTCACCCAGCTGAAGGAAAGGAAAGGGAAACAGACGGGGTGCGAGAGGCAAACCTCGTTGAGCCCAAACCCGGGTAGGGATCCTACTCGAGTACCCCTAGACTAGCCCTACTCGAGTAGTGAGATTTGTCAATGCCTGACGGCAAGAAGCGTGAGAAGCGCAAGGCCAAGCGGGCGGCCAAGCGGAGGCTCAAAGAGGTGGCTGTTCCCGAGCCGGCAGAGCCGGCAGAGCTGCAGGGCGTGGTGCTGGGTGGAGAGCTGCTGCTCAGGGCGGCCGACGGCACCGTCTACGCGAGCGAGCGTGACGATCGCGGCGCCCTCGTCGCCGTTGGCAGATGGGAGGCCGGCGCGGTTGTGCCACTCCCCAAGGCTGTGTCGTCGTCAGAGGCAGCGGGCGGTGCGACTGGCGAGGCGCGGCAGCCGTCGGTACCGCACCCTGTGCCGCAGCCTCTCGCCTTCAGTGCCGCCGAGGACGACCACTGCGAGACGGCGCCTGAGGCCTACGCGCACATTGTCAGCCTGCTCCGCCTGGTGGCGCGCAAGCGCGGCGTGCCGCCCGAGGAGCTTCGCATCTGGGACCCTTACTACTGCAACGGTGCCGTGGCTCGTCACCTCGCCGCGCTGGGCTTCCCTCACGTGCACAATGCGAACGAGGACTTTTACGCGCGGCTCGACAGCGGCGACCTTCCCGAGCACGACGTGCTGCTCACCAACCCGCCCTACACGCACCCGCACCCCGAGCGGCTGCTCGCCCACTGTGCTGCTTCAGGCACGCCGTGGCTCGCGCTGATGCCGAACTGGGTGTACACCAAGGACTACTACTGGGCGGCGCTGGGCCGCTCCCACGGCACGGCCGACACGCAGCCCTTCTACATCGCGCCGAGAAAGCGGTACAACTACTGGACGCCGCGAGGGCGGCGGTCGGACCTCACCTCGGGTGGCGCGAAGGCCAAGACGCACGGGCACACCAACGCCGCGCTCGGCATCCGGACGTCGCCCTTCGTCTCGTTTTGGTATTGCGGCGGCTTCGGGCCGGCATTGCGAAAGCGCGTCACGCCGCCAGAGGGTTGCGTGCTCTGTTGGTCGACGGAGGAGCTGCCGCCCGGCGTGCTCTCGGAGAGCGACCCACGCAGAAAAGTATGGGGAGGTGGGGGTGCAGACACGCGCAACGTCATCGGGGGACGTTCGCTAGGACGTTCGAATGGTGGTGGGAAGCGTCAGAAGAGTGGTGGAGCGGACCAGCACTGAGTGGCGTCGGATCCTATAGTATACCCCGCCAAGGACACTTATGTCGATAGTCCGAGGCCCGTCGAGCGCGCGCGTCACTTGCAGCCAGGCGCCGCTCCACCTCCAGGTCCAGCGGCAGCACCGCCGTCCACTCCCCGACTGGGCAGCTCGCAGCCCTCGTCGGCGGCGCGCTGCACGGGCGGTGCGCTCCCGAAGTCTATTCCTAGGCCCTCCGCCGGGGTGGCGGCGGGCGGGGCGGCGGGCGGCATGAAGCCGCTGAGCTTGGCCAGTTCTTGCAGCGGCAGGTAGCCGGAGTAGAACTTGCCTCCGATCGACCAGCTCGGGTACGCGCGCACCTCCGGCGCGGCGCGGCAGCGGGTGGCCTCGCTCCCAAAGCCGTCGGCGGCGCACTCTACGTAGGGAAGCTGGCGCGCCGCCTCGCGCCCGAAGAGCGAGCGTTGCAGCCCGCAGAAGCGGCACCAGTGCGCGCCGTAAAACACGGCGCCGCTCGAGCGCAGGTGCTTGGCGAGGGCGACCGTGTAGCTCGTGGACACAGTCTCCACCTCGGGTGGCTTGAAGCCGCCTGGCGGCGGCGGCGGCGGCGGCGGCGGCGCCTCGGGCGCCGGGAACTGCACTGCGGGGTTGAAGCCGCTGAGGCGCTGCAGCTCGGGGAGCGACTTCATGCCGCTGTACAGCTTGCCACCAATCTCCCAGCTGGGGTAGCCCGTAACGCGCCTCGCCTCGCAGAGCGCTGCGTCCGCCTGGTAGCCGCCCTCTGCGCACTCGACATAGGGCAGCCGCCGTGAGCCTCCGGCGCCAAACATCGCGCGCTGTTTGAGGCAGAAGCCGCACCAGTACGCGCCGTAGAACTTTGCGCCGCTCCTGCTCAAGTGCTCTGCCAGTCCGATCTGATCGGGTGTTGAAGTGCCCTTGACGGGCGGCGGTGTGTAGAGCACCGCCGCCTGCTCCCTCAGCTGCTGCGGCGCAAGAGGTGCCTTCGCCAGAAGATCAGGTGGAGGCAACGCAGCGGCCCTGCGGGAAATTGCGACTGTCGCCGCTGCCGCCGTCGCATGAGTGAGCACGGCCAAGCGCGAGTACCGCGCAGCCGTGATGGGTACCGCGCTCGCCTCGAGGGCGGCCTGCGTCGCGCCGCCGTCGAAGAAGAAGAGGCCGGCGCCCGCAGCGGCAAGCGCAACGAGCAAGAGGTTGCCGGCGACCACATCGTCGACGCCGGCGCTCGTCAGCGCGTAGAAGAAGGCAAAGCAGAAGGCCGTCAGGCCGCCGGCCACGCCGAGCGCCTGTAGCGTCTCGCTTGGCCCCTCCGTCTCCTCCATCCGCACCACACCACCGCCGCGGCGAGCCGCCTCTGCAACGACAGCGGGCGGCGCGGGCGACAGGCCGGCGGACTGCGCTGGAAGCGAGGAGAGCGGCGGGCTGGCGCGCAGCGCGGGGACTAGGAAAGAGGTAGAGAGGGCTGAGAGAGCGAGCATAGCAGGCGAGCCCCAGCCGGGCGTCGCCACCGCAGGATTCGACACTTCAGCTTGGTATACAGTGGGGTTGCGGGCAT